TCAAACGTCAGCCTTCTACGACACACCTCTACGAGCAATAACTACGACACATTTCTACTACAAACCTCTACGACTTACGAAAACTGTCTATAGCGTAATTCAGCGTTTCCTTATAGAATAGGAACCATTACGTACAGATAGATTTCGTTTTTATTTTTGGTCGCAACATTCTTTCGGTCTTGCCTTTCCCTTCTTAATAGAACTTATTAGAAGGAACCTACCGAGGTCCCCGGCGATCACTACAGCTTTCCTGGAAACTCATCCCAATGAGGAGCCTACTTGCCCTCCCTGAATGCCGAGTTGCCTTTACGTCCTTCTCGGCCTTGTTCCTTCTCAAATACGTCCGAGGGAGCCTATGGGCGTCATAGCCGTGCCCATATTGTTAATGTGGGAGCTAGATCTTCATTTACACACACAGACAAATCTACATGCACACACACTCACACTTACCGTTCAAGGCAAGGGATTAGGGCACGATAATAATAAACGGGATACATCCGGTATTGGGAATGCACATCTTGAAATATCCTGATTGATTCATTCGCTCCTTGGTGTTTCCATGCACAACTGTCACGGTTATTAGACCCGTTAGTGTAGTAAATGTTTTAATACCAGGGATAGACGTGTCTCTCTCTCTTCTCGTTGGATGGGACATCCGACACACACGTCGGCGTAATGGGCATTTCTCTCCAGGTATCATCACTCCAACGACCTATCCGGGACAAACTATTGTAACCCCGCCCCCTCCCCCGACTGATATCTCTACATATGTGATACTGTAGTGTAAGAAAGACGAAGTGAGTAAAGAAAGAGTATTGGGCAAGGAAGATAAAGGAATGATCGCACGCGGCCTGTGACCCGTTTGTCAGTGCTTCCACATTCGCCTGGTATTAATCGGAGAAACCACAGAAAACTACGTATCAGAGCAGCTGGACAACAGAATTCTTCCCTAGAAAGCGGGTTAACTCAAACTAGCTACTCAATAAATCATGCTACCGCCGGGATTCGAACCTAGGACCTCCCAGTCGGAGGGATTGCAGTGACATCGGTTGAAGCCCTGATCTACCTCCGCCGGTGGTGGCAGTCTTCCCTAACCTCACCTTATCCTAACCACGAATTGCGCCCTGAAACATAGCACACTGCGGTGTATTTTGGAAAAATTATCACATTCTATAATTACCATATTCTTGATTTGCCCATTATACCCTAACTTACAAAAGGAAGATCTACAATAAGTATAGACAGATTAATTAATTAATGTTTCTGAGCGCCTCAGTGCTAAGGTCAATAGTCCAGTAAGTGTAGTGCGTGTTTTTATCACGTGCTGTGACTGCTCTTCCCACACTGAATGGTGAGATATGGCGCTGATATAAACGTCGGCTTGCAGAGTTGTCCCCAACCAGGTATCTCCAGGTACTGTCAGCGGGCCGCAGTCCAGTTCTGACAAGCTCGGAGCGCCTGACCGTCCTCCCGATGATCGAATTCATCCGCTGATTGAGAATTCTAGCGTCCGGCTGCTCTAATCGCTTGTTTTCCGTAGTTTCTCTCATCAATACCAGACGAATGCTGGAACAGTACGCTAGCAAACCGGCCACGGACCGCGCGAGATTTTTCCTTCCTTATTCCATACTCACACATTTTATCCACCCACTTACACATAAATGCTTCGTACCCCGCACGTCGGGAGACTGGTCGGGGGCTGAGAGCTTGTCCCAGCTGGGGCGGTGACTCGCTGATGGGAGATATCTGGTTGAGTGAAACCTTGCAAACCAACGTACGTCGGCGCCGAATGTCGCCTCCAGCAGGAGAAGATCACCGCTACCTCTTGCGATAAGAATATGCACTACATTTTCGAGACTAATTACTTTAGCAGATGACGGAATCGCTAATCAATCAATACCTCTTATTAAAGTATGTTATAATGTTGAATAACGGATATCTAAAGTGAACTTACAGAACCAAAAGAATTCCAAAATATCGCAGTGTTCGTTACGTGAACTAAGGAAGTGCAATTGTATGTGTATAAAACTCTCGTTGTATTCAAATAATTTCATTACCTGTAAAGAATTACTCTTAGATGAAAATTTCACTATTTGGTTGTTCGATGATCGGTTACACTGTGCAAACTACTCGGCATTTCGGTATGTATCTCTTAAAATTACGCATTTCTGGGTAGTATGTTTTTGCCGTCATTTTCTATTTTTGAAGATCTTTCGTGTCCGGCCTTTGGATCGCTTTGGACTAATGCGCCACGCGCAAGGCCTCCGTTTGTTTAAGGTTTGAGAGCGCTGCGAGCGGCGAGAAGTCAATCGCGCCAGCTAAGAAAGCGGCGCACCACCCGAGGAAGCTGCGAGATGGAAAACTTCTTCAAAATCATGACTAAGACTTCGAGGAATTTCGGGTTTATGTTTGTATGGATGTGACGGAACGTTTCAGCTGTTTTTAAAGAACTTGGGCCAGGTGAAGGTCTTTTGAAGTGGCTACCAGGTGATTCTCCACTTTAGTATCTCTTGACTTACGCTCAGAAGCAATTAAAACATCTAGAAATGATTAGTGGAAATGGAGCTGATTTGAAGTAGGAAGCAGTTTGTACAAAAAATGGAAACCAAATAATGATGAAAGAAGGTAAGGAACCATTCCGTCACTCTACCAGACTATTGAATTTGTTAGTCAAATCTTCAGTGAGTTTCTAAAAAAACCTTGCCTAAAAGAATTCTGAGGAAACACTTCGTGACGTTTCACGTATACCGTCTACGTTTCCCACCGCAGAACTTGCTGAAATGATTTGGAGGATCAAAACGTGGTATGCGTCAAGTTTGTATATGGAATGGAGTGTAGAACACCATTTTATTGCCAATAAAAATTGTAAATTATGTATATATTGCAAGGACACCGATTTTTTAAGTTGAACTATATAGTTTTTTAATATGCAAAAGGTAAGTCTTGAAAGAAGTCACGTAACGAAATAACGTATAATATAATAGTTTACAATTTTGCATGAAAAGGATTTATGAAATCCTTCCGCTGTGAATATCGCGAAGCGTTAAGGAAATTTTAGAATAAGTGGGAAAATTGCTATCCGGCACTTATTCTAAAACCGTCGCAGCCACTAACGAAGGCTGCAACGGTTTCCAATCTGCGCCGGCCAGAACAAGGTCAAGGTAATCAGCCCCTAGGCTGCGAATTTCGCAGTATGCAGCTGAGGCAAAGCAGAAGAAACTAAAAGGAAATAGTACTGCATGGAAGTTCAGATCAAGTGGCAGAGGTATTCTCTATTTAACTATATTCAACTTTTAAAACTAAGATTAATCATTCTGTTACCGTTTTCATGATTTATCCATTGTATATGAAAACGTAATTAGTTTCATAAAAAATAAATTTGATCAATATCACTCTATTAAAAAATACAATTGTTCGAACAATATCTCTAAGTCACATTTCATGCTTCATAATTCACTACATTAAGCGAAAAATACGCTTCTGTACCAGAAATCAATTAACAGATTTTTGTTGTTTCTTCAACGCGTATCTGTTATTTATGAGAAAATGGGCATTTATTTTTACGAAATGTACGAAATAAGAAAAAGAGGACAAAAAATCAAACATAAACCGTCCAAGAGAAATTAACCTTGATGCGACTCCGATGATTCAATTGTTCATGGAATTACCAGAGCGTGTAAATGAATAATTTCAAATAATTATACATTAAATTGAAAATACGGGTCCATTACACTGAATTTGTATTGAATAAATGAATTATTATTTAACTGAGACTCACCCTCAATATCATATGTTCAGTAGATAAAAATATAATTAAAAACGTGTATTAATAGAACTCACAAATCATAGTGGCTCAGTTCAACATTACAATGGAACAAAATGCTTTTGAAGAAAATTTTCAATTACATTTATCCCACATTCCGCAATTTAACATAAAATTTGAGGCAGTAAGATAAGTTACAAATTGTGCGTACAAGTATGTGTAATGGTTCAAATTTGTAATGAATTTCAGGATAGATTTCGTTACTACTTCAAGGAATTTAAAATCATTTAATTTGAAGTAATACTTACTGTTGCTGATATTTGTGTCGCAGATATCATCCTCACATTCCATTAACTTAGTTTTCTTTTTCTTGTATTTGTTCACATTGTTCTTCTTCTTTAAATTATATAAGAAATGCCACATTTCTGCCACTTCCTAAATGTTCCCTTCCAAATGCCGCACTATTCGCATTAGAAGTCGCGTGATCTCCGAGCAGTTCACGCGAAAGGAAAACTAGCGCTGGGAACGCCACTCGCGAACTGACTTAGAACCTCCAAATCTCAAGTTCTAGAGCGGAGTGGTATTTTAGGAAAGAAATAGTTCCTGTTACTTTATGCGATTCTAATTATTCACCAGGGAACATATACTACTGTCAATGGTATACAATTCTTGGCAGAAACAATAGAGCGATTTGAATGTTTAGGTATTTTATCTTTTTTAGCGTTTACTGGTAGTAATAAATACTTATTACTGTAGTAATAAATATTAAATTGTTGTTTTTGAAACACGATTCCTAATTTTAAATGTTTTAGCTGATCATCACATTCTAATAATTCGTAATTCATTAGTTCATTCATTCTTATTAACGTTGAACACACCAAAGTTTTAATGTATTGCAGTAGTGATTATATTGATTTGCATTACACATGACATCCTTCATACACAAGATTTAAATATGAGGAACAACATAAAGGGTGAAGTTACAAATCATTTTTGAGTGTAGCATTACAACTCCAAATTGGTTTATGGCTATGTTTAATAATTAAACTTTTGAACCAATTATTCTTCAATTTTATTACTACCTTTTTTAATAAGAACATGAGTAGTCTTAATTTAATGTAGATTCAAAATTGTATTAAATTATTAAAATTCTATATACAAATTATTAAAACCGATTTTCTATTGTAGAACTTTTCCTTCTAAATTGTACTATGTTGTGATATTATTAAGTTATAATCATAAAAAATATTTTTCTTTTTGCTTTCCAAATAACCATATTATGAAAATTATGGTTCTATGTGATTCTTAAATAATATGATTTATTTAACAAAAGTAACCTTATTGTGAAAATTGTTGCTTTATGTTAGGTTACTAATGAGCATGAAATATTTAACTATAAAAACAAAGTTGAACCTGAAAACAAAATTAAAGAATAAACTGTCTGTAAATGATTGGTTGAGTATATTGTCTGAGACTACAAGCATTTATACGTTTTTCCTTCTTTTCTACTACAATCTATGTCAATATATTCAATGTTCGTTAGTACGATGATCCAAACGTCATACGTTGCAATAGAGATCCGAAAGTTAAATGATGATTTCTCACTCCCAGCAACAAAATAGCCAAACTGAAAAATTGCATAATAGAAAGAAACACTTGTTCTAACCAAGAGCATTACAGGAACATACACACGCATGTTGGCCGATCTACATTCAGAAACCATCCATTCAGATGTAAACTCTGAACGTGTCGTGACAACGAATAGGTGATATCTTGACCACTAACAGGAAATGAGCTCGTCACAACGAATAAACATTTGTATTCCTAACGGCCGGCGCCCTTGCGAACTGAAGTTGCCAGGTTCAACGCATGGGTAGAGGCGCTGGGCGCCGAGATCGCGTCCGACGGGGCAAGTCCGTGGAGGCGGGCTACGAGGTAGAGAAGGGCGGCGGGGGCGGCGGGAATGGGGCGAAATGGGGTGGCGGGGCGGTGGCTGGTTGGACCGCGGTTGCGCCGTCCTTGTGAACTTGAAGTTCAAGATTCAACGCATGGTCAGAAGCGCCGGCGCTGAGATCGGCTTCGACCGGGCTGCGGGTGGTGGCAGGCGGCTACGAGGGCGGTGCGGGAATGTGGTGCGTGAAGAGCGCGAGGGGGGCGAGGGAGCGTGGGCGAACGGGGGATGGCGGGGGCGGTGGCCTTGGGCGCCGTCCTTGCCCCGCGGTCGCGCCGGTCAGCCGCGTCGGCGCCGGCCCGTCATAACTGTTTCGCGTCGCGCCCAGCGGGCTGTGACGGCGGCGTGGCCGCGGCGCCGTCGCGCGGCGGGTTCCAGACGGCTTTTGCAGCGCCGCGCGCAGCCCCCGCCCCGCCTCTCGCCCACTCCGCTCCGCGTGGAAAGCAGCGCGTCCGCCCGCCCTCGCCCGCGCCGCCCGCCCCCCCCCCACCCGCCGCCGCAGCCCGCCCCCACCGCCCCCGCGCCGCCCGCTTCCTCCCGTGGCGCGGCGCCAGCGGCTGCAGAGATATTGCGCTTGCACCCGGCCAACCCCCGGGTCCGCGGCGGCGGACTCGCCCCATCTCCGCAGCCAGGCTGTCCTACGCACGGCCCATTCACGGCTCCTACGGACACAGACCAATTAGCGTCATACGGTGCGTGTGTGAAAGGGCAGGGATGGCGTGCCCTGTGAACTTTTGTTTTTTTACTGCCCAGAATTCCTTATTGGAACCCAGTTAGACAAAGGAGCAACAAAGTTGAGCAACCCTCGCAACGTTCTGAGCCAGACGCGCTTCGTGGCCGGTTTTTTTTCTTTTTTTCAGTTTCAATAATCGCTCTACTAATCTCACACAATATAGTTGTAAACATTACTCTCTAAGCCTTCTAGCCCGCGATATAAGACATGTTTTGGTTGGTATCAACAAAATGGATGTCCAGAAATCACCCCAGGACCATGAATCTAAAAAATCTCATCGTTCTTAAAATACATATAACAAAATGCATATTCTTGTAAATAAAATGTTTTCAGCCTTTAAATTCACTAATATACCAAATTTTGCCAAAATGAAAGTATTTAAAAACATATATATATATATATATATATATATATATATATATATATAGTATATATTACACACATATTCTAGGAAGTTGTTAAAGATTAAAACTTCACTATTCTTAAAATAAAGTAATTTTGTCTTCAGTGAAACACATTCACATTTAACATATTCTATGCAAACAATTTCGTGTGCGATGACCTGTAACGTGTTTTCAATTTCATGAGAACATTAATATTCAAGGAGCTACAACGGAAATATAACGGGTTCTCATGTTACTAGAAAACTGGATAAAACAAAGAACAAAGTTTGAAAGTAAACACAATTGTTATTTATTGCCATGAATAAACTAAAGTGCATCCAGCCCAGTTATTTATTTCACATTAAAGATCACATATTTTATTGAAACATTAAGTAAACACGTATCATAAAATTAAGTATTAAATTATAAATATAAAACAAAAAATTCATACTCCAATGCAAATTAAAAAACTTTTTAAATGTATTTAAAACTCATGAATAATATAAATGACTAATTTTACAGTACTTTTACAAATATATAACAAATTTCCAGTAGTGACACATGAACACTGAGCAAGACAAATAGCTGCATCATTTTACATGAAATGTAACAACATATCATGAATTGTGACCCTAGATTACATAATTCCGTAATTGCATAAAGAGCTGAAGTTAGTAAACTAGACAGTAAGAAAATTAAGAAGTATATTAAAACATATATTGTCAATCATTAAACTAATTCAATTTCTTACTTACTGCTTTTGTTAATTTCTTTCTTTGAATTTGTATAATCATTTTATAGTTTGCGCTAGTTTTCTTTTCTATCTGCCAATATATGTTTTGTATTATATTCTGGATGTATATTTGCCTTGTATTGCGTAAAACCGTTTTTTTTCATGTAAATTGGGTTGTCATTGAATCTCATCTCAGCTTTTGTTTCCGGTGTAAGGTTACTTAAACTGCACCAGAGCAGAAGCATTCAGTTACATCAAGTGTCTTTGTAAACGTATGTGAAAATTAACACAATTTAATAATAATAATAATAATAATAATAGTAATAACAGTAATAATAATAAATTAAAGTGAGAAATATAATTAAAATATTTAAACAAATATATTATTTTGGAATGCAAATCGAGAATTACGAAGACGAATTTGAAATAATCGAAAAAGGTTTACATATGGTTTCAGATATAGATTCACATTCATGTTTTGTTTTCAATATTTGTTATCTTTGTCTATCAACAAATTGTAGGTCAAAAATATGCTCACTACTATATTTTCAAAAAGGCCAATTTTGATGCTATTAATATAATCCCTCTTGATCGATGCTGAGATCTGATTTGTATATTCTGTGTAATTGAGGAGCTACGTTCCAAAGTGACGAGTACAAATTTTCATTATTTTTCAATATTCACTAATCAGCATATTTGTAAGACGTTTCTCTTTGATGTTACCCAATAATGTGTTCAAAATTTGCATTTCGCCTATGTTAAATAATACCCGAACTCCGTTGAGTTCCATTTTGAAATAAATGGCTGAATGTGAATATTTTCCCTTCCTGTTAAAAAAATTATACTTCATGATGGACGCAACTTCGAAAAGAAGTTCTTAAATTTGAATATAATCATCTCCAAACCAAACGTGGAGTCCAGCAGTCAGTCAACTCCTTGGTTTGTTCCTCGAGCCAACCAGAGGGGCGCGCAGTAAATTCGCCATTTGCTCACTCGGAGCGCAAATAACGGACAATAAGGGCAGCACACAGGCGACATCTGCGTCGAGAGAGCGACTACGAGGTCCTCTGCGTGCTCACAAATCTCTCGGGGTTGATGGACAGGCGCCCGCCCCGCCCACCCGTTTGCTGGCCGGGTCGCCAGGCGCCGCTGTTTGCTCACGGGCCACGGGGAAGGTGCCGGCGCTGGAGTCCGGCCGAGCCGGTACCGTTCCTGACCCTCTTGACTGACGCCGGTTTTAAGGCCAGCGCGCGCGGGCCTTCCGATGGCTACCGGCGCCGGCTCCACTGGCGGCAGAATGGAGGAGGACGGCGACTGCCTGCGTGCCCACCATGACTGAGGTGGCACACAGTAGAACCTTGATGACTGGATTCCTTCATTTAGCCAATTTTACTAATTGTCTCTCGAATCACAATAGTTAATATTATGAATGTCCTTAGGCTCGTACATGTGTCACATGTACACGTATGTCCATAGGTCAATAACACATGTTGAAGTTTGTCAATTGAAACCTCAGTCAAAGTTAAGTATAAACCTACTGAGTACGTTATTTCTGATGTTTGGGGTGCGTTCAACAGTTTGCTTGATACTACTTTCACGAGAAAAAAAATTCTGAATAAATATACTTGCTTTTAATAAATGTCATCTTCTGCTGAAGCACATTCATTTCTTTGGATTTGATTGAATTGTTGTAATAGAAACG